TCATGTCAAAATAAATTTTTTTTTAAAAAATACAAAATTACCCTTTTTCGGTTGTTGAACAATGTATTTTTGACTGTAACAACCGAAAAAATACACCAATTTCAGTTCTAAGCTTTTCGGTTTTTGAATAACCGAAATTTACTGCTCCTATCCCTACAGTTCTGTAATGCCAGTCTATGGTTATTGGCAGGCCGGCGGTGGCGGCGGTCATTTGGCAAGGGAAGGAGCGACACACACCCTGTTGCTTAGTATGCGGGAGCGGGGTGGGAAGGGGGCGGAGGGGGGAGAATCAGGGGCCGCTGGGAGTGTTCAATTTGGTGGAGGAGGTCACCATGGGGAAACTCAATGACATTTTCGAGGCTTTTGGTAAGAGAGAGAGAGAGAGGATTGGTTTTGTGTTTGTTTAGAGAGAGAGAATTGGTTTTGTGATGGTTTAGAAAGATAGATATGGGGCAATTAGTTTAGAGAGAGAGAGAGCCACTTTAACTTTCTTACTTAATTATGTGGCTCAGTGGTTGTTTTGGCTTTTGTTGCTTTATGATGCCAATTGGCATTACTGAGAGTGTTTTGCTTGCAGGTTGTGTGTTCGAGAGAGAGAAAAATGGAGAATCCATTGAGGTTGGGAGAAGGATTCATATATCATATTTCTTGTGAAATTGATTACACGAACTCCACGGATTGATTGGTTTCTTATTTCTTCTTTGTCATCCTAGATTGGCCTCGTGTTCTAGGCGATGTTTGGTTTAGAGAGAGAAAAAAATTGACTTTGTAACTTGTGTGGTCTCAGTGAGTGGGGTGGGGGAGAGAGAAGAGAGAGGGTGAGGTTGCCTGCTATTCTAAGTTAGTTGTGCGTGTGTTAGAGAGAGAGAGAGCGCCTCCAAAATTGAAAAGCGTAAATTTTTGGTTTTTGAGCAACTGAAAATACATTGAATTCGGTTGTTCAATAACCGGAAAAAGGTAAAGTCATATTTTTTAAAAATTTTCGTTTTGACGTGAAAAAAACAAACACAGTGATAATAATGAAAACTATTCGATACATTCGTAATAATGCAAACTATAATAGATATATAGGTAATTTTTCCAATAAAAAACACATTAAGAATACAAAACTAAAAGTATTTTTATCAGTTTGCACTTAAGTACTTTACATATATTAAATTACAAAAATACGTTAGTTGTTTCGCATCTCTAATATTGAACAGTGTGTTTGTTATTTTACATGTAGAACAATTATGCGTATTTTTTGTTGTTCAGTTGAGGGAACAATGTGTTTCTTATTTTACATGCAGAACAATTAGGGGTATTTTTTATCTTTCGATTGAGATTCCCCTAATAGTTCATTGTTCTAAATACACTATACAAGGAATATGTTGGTATTTTAAAAAATTGAAAGAGATATATAAGTAAAAGAAGAAAGAAAAGTATAACCCAAATGTTAACCGGAAGAATTGGGTCCGTTTTACTGATTTTTTAAGGGATTTCATGTCCTTTCGATTATAGTTTCCCCAAAAAATAACGGGACTGTATAAAATAGAATAGGGAGGTCACAATTACTTACAACCATCCAATATGAAATGTGATACCTCGAATGTGTCACAAAGTTCGAAAAAAAAAAAATTGAACTTTGAGTTTGATTAATGAAATAAATGCAACCACCTAATTTCACATCCAATAATCAAGATTAATTATGACAACCTTTCAGAAAAGGTAAATGCTCTCATTACATACTTTTATCCTCTTTGAGAATAAAATGCTACTAATGAAGAGAGAGACGGATATCTCTTTGCAAGTTCACTTCGATTTGGATTCACCGACAAAAATATCTATTCACATTTCCTCATATCTATTATTATTTATTAAGCGAGATGAATACCCTCGCTATTATCACACCATGTATGTTTTTTTTCAAAATTGCTCTCTTTAAAGGTAAGATCTATCCATCTCTCTATAACACAGACTCTCTATGTATCTCTCTCCCTTTCTCTACCCAAAGATTAACATGGTTCTCAATTTTATCTTAGATATTCTTTCTCATTATCTCCTCTCTCCTACTCCACCAAATTTCTCTCTCCCTCTCCACGGTTTTTTTAAGTTCTCCCTCCATCTTTTCTAAAATCTCTCTCCCCCTCTCTCTCTCTAACTCTCCCTTCACGCATCAATCTCTCCCTCCACGCATCAATTCTCTTTTTCAAATTCTGGATAAGATGATTTTCCTTTTACTATTTATATAGGATTTTATTTCTTCCAGTCTATTTCATACATTAAATATTCTTTTCTATAATCATCTCTCTCCCACTTTTTCTCACGAAATTTCTTTGTCTCCCACTTTCTTAAAATCTCTCCTACTTTTTTTTTTTACTCTCCCTACTTCTTTTCTAAAATCTCTCGCTTTTTTTTTACTCTCCCTGCTTCTTTTCTAAAATCTCTCTCTCTCATGTTTTCCTAAACTCGACTCAGGTATCTTTCTATCATAGTAGTAAATCAGATCTCACAATTAGAAAGGATCACAATATTATTAACGGATGCTCTCTATAACTCTCTCTCCCTCTTTTCTAAAGTATCTCTCCCTCTTAAAATGTCTCACCCACACTCTCTCTCTTATATGTATCGTCTTAAATTTCTCTATTCTTTTAGAAAGAGTTGTTCTCTTTATCTGGCTCCTCTAATTTAAAGTTCCAATTGTGCAATATTTGAAGTTAAGAAATCTGTGTTATGAGGTTTCTGTATTATATTTCTAAAATAATTGTAAAAAGTAGGTATTAGTAAGAATAATTTATTTTATTAAAATGATACCATTATAATTAGATTCCATAATTGTAATTACAAATTATATTATTTTAAAAATTTTAATTTATTATTTGTCATGTAGACTCTCTCTCCTCTTTATCTTTATAATTGGATAATAAATATGATATACATGTTATTTAAAATTATTATTTTGTAATAAATAAATTGTAAAATAATGTAATGTAATTATAATTATAATAAATAATAAATTTAATTTAATTAGAATATTTGTTTCTTATTAGAATATTATATTTATAATTTTTCCTTGATTCCCTCAAGTCTAAGTTTAATAATTATAAAAATTATATATTGATAAAAATATTTTATTTTTTGTTCAAAGCTTGTAATTATATTGTAACAAATTTTTGTCCCCAAAAAGTAAAAAATTAAAAAAAGAAAACAAAAAACCTTGCTACATGAAAGGTTCTATAATAATTATAAAAAGTAGGAATTATTAAGAGTAATTTATTTTTATTACATTGTTACAATTATAATTAGATTCTATAATTATAATTACAAATAATATTATTTGAAAATTTTTATTATTTGAAAATTTATTATTTTCCATGTGTACTCTTAGAATATTATATTTAGAATTTTTCCTTGATTCCCTCAAATCTAAGTACAATTTTTATAATTATTATTTTTATAATAATTATTAAAATTAGATATTGATAAAAAATAATTTATTTTTTGTTTGAATCTTATATTATAATTATAATTATAACTAATTTTTGTCCCCAAAAAGTAATTCAAAAAATAAAAACAAACAAAAAATAAAAACAAAAAACAAAAAACCTTGCTATTAGAAAGGTTATATAATAATTGTAAAAAATAGGTATTAGTAAGAATAATTTATTTCTATTAGATTGTTATAGTTATAAATTAGATTCTATATTATATTAGAGATAATATTATTTTAAAATTTTTATTATTTTTCCGTGTGTACACTGTCTCCTCTTTATCTTCATGATTGGATAATAAATATGATATATATTATATTTATATTTATTATTTTGTAGTAAATAAATTGTAAATTAATGTAATGCAATTACAGTTATAGTAAATAATAAATTAAATTTATCTAAGCATAATTTATTCTTATTAGAATATTACATTTATAATTTTTCCTTGATTCCCTAAAGTCTAAGTACAATTTCTATACACATATATTTCTATAATAATTATAAAAATTAGATATTGGTAAAAATAATTTATTTTTTATTCAAATTTAATCATATTATAATTATAACTAATTTTTGTCCCCAAAAATAATTGAAAAAAATTAAAATTAAACTGCAAAACCTTGCTACGTGAAAAGAAGAAAATAGATAATATTAACTTTATATATATTTTATTGAAAATATTTTTTAATGATAACTATGTTTTAATGATTAATATTAAATATCACGTGCAACGCATATATTACTAATTGCACATATTACTAGTACATATTATGTTTATTTGAAAATTTCAGGGTCCATTATTTAGGCCCCTTGTCCAAAATCTGATACAAAATATGCTTTTGGACCTTAAATATATATATTTTTTAAAATTTTGTTTTTGATAATTCATTCACCATTCATTTTAATTCTTTGTTAACCATCAAATCTTACTTTTTCCTAGACTGCAAAATCATGGATATGAAGTGGAAATAAAACATCAGTTGGTAGAATGCGTTCCACATCATAAACCCAATCCATAAGATTGGATTTTTAAAAGTAACCGCATTATTAAACACAGTGATTTAAAAAATGCGTTCCACATCATAAACCCAATCCATAAGATTGGATTTTTAAAAGGAATACCGGGTCGATACAAAGTCACCCGCTTTAACCCGAGAATAAGTCGCACTCCATTTCAGTTCTACGTATATCTAAAAACGGCACGTTAGAAAAGAACTGATGGTTCCACACAATAAAACGATGATTCTCTACAGTAAAACACCAATCCGAACCGTCGATTCACCAATCCTGACTAATTTTTTTGCCGGTTCACTATTTTTTCACATGTTCACTATTTTTTCTGCATAGTAAAATGGCAATTTTTTCTGCCTAGTAAAATGGCAATCTAACCCACCGATTCACCGATCCAAACCGGTTTTTGAAGTGCCCAATCCATGTCGCCAATCCATTTTTTAAAATACTGATTAAAACTAATAAAACCCTACTAACAAACGCATATATACCCTACTCAAGAAAGGGGTGTGCGTGTAAAGAGAGGTTTCTGCAAATGTCAATGCAAAGATTCATAACTAAAGGTTGCAAAATTTCTTCAAACCTCCGAAGAGAACATTAAAAAAAAGATCAATATCTCACCCAAAAAGAACTTCAGACAAAAAACTGAGATTGCAAGAAAAGCAATGTTTTTTCTTCCTGCTCCCTAGGATGACAACCCAATTTACTTTTTCTCTTCCTTCTCTGCTTCTGCTGCCTTCTTTAAGCGAGCACCAAAATGTCGCTTATTCGTTCTTTCAATGCGCAGCTTGTCATAGGCTTTAAAGGATTTCATCTCCTCTGTGATTTTAACCATTTCAACACCTGGTTTCTCCCTAGTTATAGCCATGTACTTATCTAGGACCTGGGAAGCATTAACCAGCTCTTCTGGGCCGGAATCACCAACCTACAAAACACCAAATATACACAGAATCACTGAATCCATACAAGCACCAAAATAAAACTCTCTCTCTCTCTCTAAACATGTTAGACATGTACACAATCCACACACCTTTACCTACAAGTAAAATTGACTCTCTCTCTCTCACACACACACACAAGGACAAACACAGAGCATATGAGCCCTTACACAAATCAAGTCCCATTTTTTAACCACACTTTTCATTATTTTTCACACTCGGCATCAACTATCTTTCTGCTGTTCTTTATACAGTTTAATTTCCAAGCAATGTATATCACTCACAGCAGGTAGGGTTGGGAAAATTAAAGGATAAAAAAGAAAATTGCTTGCATACCTTGAATTTGCTAGGGCGTCTCGGGAAAACAACCAAATTAGCCTTGTAAGTCTTCAGCCTTTGGACATTTGCCTGCAAACCCTCCAAAGAGCGGTTCTTGCGTCGATGATCAACCGCAATACCGATGGTTGGGGCAAGTTTCTTTGGAATACCAGCGGCCTATACAGAAGGAAATATATTACATTTATTTGTTATGCTTAACAATTGTAAAAAGACATTAGAAATTGAGAACATGCACGATCAGACATGATTGCACAAGAAACAGGATCTGAGAAGGCTCAGTCACAGTGCCCATGCTTTTGCACTTTTTTTTTTTTTGCCTGTACCGAATTTTTTGCCATTCCTATCCAAAACAAGCTCATTGGGCAGGAGTATCAAATCCAGATGCTTGTTGGAATCCCAAAATGTACATGGGCGCTTATGGCAAAAGCATTGGCAAAAATACCAATCATTAAAAAAAGGAGTGTTTCTCAGCTAGCTCAACAAGAGGTATGCACCTTTATTTTTTATGCCTGAACTCAAGTTTAATCTATTCCTATCCAAAACATGGACAGAACATCAAAACAAGTACTTGCTAGAAATCTTGTAGCAATTTTCTATGTACAGATAAACAGAAAGGGGGTACGTTTCATCTAATTTAGTATGTAGCTTAAGTGTTTACCAGCTAGCAGGTTGGATTATTAGGTCAAATCACTACCAGATAGCTATCTAGGTTCCCCACTCAGCCACACTGGGTTATTAAGTCAGATCACCACAACATATAACTCTAGGTTGCCCTCACAGTGCTGGTTAAGTCCAAATATTGTGTGTGGTATCCATTGAAGAAATGTTCTGAAAGGAGACTATCATCTTGGACAAGCTAAGGTATATTCTAGAAGGAATGTACAAGCTAATGAAGGCCGCCCTGGACAACATTCCAGTGTAGAGCCCCTGCTTTAGGTAGAGATGCATGCAGTAAGAACCTAGCTATTGTCTCTCAAAAAAAAAGAACCTAGCTATAGGAAGTAGGAACCTCGGAACTCTCCTCAGGTGGGCCCTATGAGATTTCAGTTAGGATTTGTGTCAGCCTTGCTAGCAGGCTTTGAGGGGTATCCATGGAATGCTTTGGGCAATTGGGGCCAACGTAATTTTGAATTGCTATTTCCAGGAGTACTTTATGGCAATTATATTTTTTGCTGAGGGAACTTCACTGAATGGTAGGGGCTAGTAGAAAAAACTAGGGTTTGTTTCAGGTTTCTGATTACAATGATTATACGAAGAAATTCATAAATCAGCTAAGCGTGCAAACAAAAACAGGAAGTTCCACTCTGCAAAGAAAAGTGTATCTTGATATCTGGATATAGAAAAATAACCTAAGCCTGGATTAGTGAACAGCACATTCAGCACATATATAACTGATTCTGGATGTCAACAATGCATAAACACGCCTGAAGCATAAAAATGCCAATGCAAAGATACATTTAATCAAATAATTAACATAACAAGATAACACACACTTTTCTGATTACAAACCAATTTCTATTTTACTGACCTCTTACTCAGAAATATGTCACAAAACTTGTATGCCAGCTTGCATTTTTCATCATCTTAATAATCGATGGACACAGCCTAACTAATAGAATGGTGATTAGAATACAAAGTCTAGCTAATTCTATTCATCTAGGCATGCTTCTTGCACCCAAAGCATGATGTATGCGTTGAATAACCACCTACTAGTCAACTTAAAAGTGAACCAAAGATCAAAATTTCTTTCAAGACTAAAAGGCAACTCTTCAACGTGATCTAATGTGATACATGCAACTTCCAATTGTAACTGGATTGCACCCATCTTCAGTTCCAAAAGTCAGCGGTATTTTCTTTCTATTTACAAGCTAGAGCTAACCTACTTCACAACATGATGAAAGGCTCTCTAATAGACTTCGATGGAAAAATGGAGGGGCAATTAGTTTCTCCGATCCTATGACAGACAAATAAGCCCAAATATTTCTTTTACAAGTAGTAAAAATTGATGAGATGGACAAAGGCATAACAATTGTTTGAAAGTCGCAAGGCTGCCTAAGCCCCTCCTGGACAGCCTAAAACAGGAGGAAATGGGATCAACAAAAATATAGATCAGGGACAAATTCCCAATAATGATCTTACTTGTGATAAAGATAAGTAAAACAAGAGCATTGCACTTACTAGTAAGTAATACATTGTTTTTTTTTTTTGTTGATAATGCATAAGTAATACAATGATTAAAATCGATTTTCTGAAATTGTTTTAATAGTTTCCAAAGCTTTCTCTCTAAAATTCCTTCAAAGATGCAGAAAAACAAGAAATGTTTTTAAGAATATCCCACCATAAAAGAAATTGAACTTTTCCAAAGTATCTATGCCAAAAAGAAGTGACTCTTTGTTGGTTCTATTGTTTACCTGAAAAAGAACATTCAGTTTCAGATTTAAAACCGGCGAACCTACAAAACATTGTTTCTGTCTCTTCATTCTTAAATATTTTCTGTTTAAAAAAAAGAAATAAAAAGAAGTTTTTGTCATGAAGAAGAAGGCTTGGGCATCTTACTCTTAAATTCTCTGCAACTCCTCACTATGAACATGAGAGAGAGAGTTCGTTGAGGAACAGGACCCTATACTCTCACCTAGTCCCCTTTTTATAGCCCTCGAAACCATCTTTTGAAACACCTAAAACACCTCGGCCAAGGCATCAAGATTAGGGATCATGTCTTTTGATGTAAAAGAGAAATAACTGATAGATCCTCTCTGGCAAGGAAACTGGTCTCCTTGTTAACAACAAGGGGGGGGTACACAGAAAAATTAAAGTAGTATATCAGTGACCTCTAGAACGGTGATATGGGATTGGTACTTTACATCTCCCATGAAAATTTACTAATAGGAACAAGTATACTCATTAGAAGAATTTGTAGAACATGTCTAATGACTACAGCATGAACATTCATAGGGATAGTCATCTATTTTATCACAATTCAAAGAGGGTTATGGTCCTAAACATGAAGTAGCATGGAAGTTGTTATTTAAAGGGAGCCGAATTAAAAGATTTTGTATAGAAGTTGAATAACCACATCACAGTCCTAAAATTAAAGACCTAGGAGATAAAACTAACATGGATACCACAGACAATCCATGAATGTTCTTTTTGAGAATCATACAACCCATGAATGTTAAAGGTGATATAAGTGATAGATCCTCTCTGGCAAGGAACCACATGGGATAGCAGGCCAAGACACAAGCGATTAAAACACATTCAAGGTTTGTGGAGGAATCTCTATAATATTTAAATGCACAGCATCATAGAGGAATCAAATGGGATTGAACCACAAAATCAATTCCAAAACCTAGAATCCTTGGGCAGAAAAAAGACCATTTATCCTTCTAGAGAAACAGATAATGAATTAAGTTTACAGAGCATGAATACACATCAGGCTAAAAGGAAAAACATGAATTAAGTAGCATACTACCTTAAGCTCTTCTAGTGAAAAACCCCTTCCTGCCCTCAGTTTCATGTTGTATTTTAGTGTTTGTCCATGCACTATTGGCCTCAACGGTCCAGCTACGGGCCTTGGAAATATCTTCACAGCTTTTTTTGTTCGTGCTGCAAGTTTAATACAAACTCACATTAAAAGGTCGTACTTCTCCATAGAATACACATAAAACTGAAAACAGCATCAAACATGAATAAATAATATCTTAACAAAACAATTACAAGGGAGAAATACGTATTTCATAAGGGTTTTGGAAGGGGGAGAGGACAAACCTATCCTTCTTCTAACTTTGCGTGCGGGCTGGTTAAACCAAGTCCTGACATAGTTTTGCCAGTGCTTTTTGAAATGCCCATTGGGCACAACATTGTTGTGCTTCACCATGGCGTAACTGAATATCATCAAAATAGAGTAAATATTATGGAAGAGCAACAAAGCAAATATTATATAATGAAACCATCTCAAGTGACATTTGCATAAAGGTCATTTCTATATAAATCCTCGCAGGGCACCAATTGCTAATCCAAATAAACAAAATGATCAACGGAAGGTTTCAGAAAATCCAAAACGGTTATGTTCTAACACAAGAACAAAAAGGACATAGATGTGGCATCAATATAGCAGTATTATCCATAATGCAATACAAACAAGAAGTTGTGGAAACAAAAATATATCCAAAAAAAAAACAATGTAGAAACACCAGTACATAGTTATGCATATTATTAATCTTGGCACTTAATCAAAATCAGATTATCGAACCGTAAAAATAGTGACCACTTTCAACAAGCTGGAAAAAAATAGACCAGAGAATTATAGGGAAGTTTCATCAAATAGACATATCCTCCATATAACCATCAATGGTTGCACCATTCAACCAATCACAAACTTATCCAGTTCAACACAGTTCAGAAAATGGAAGAACAAATAATTAACAATCGTTTTTTCTTTCCTTCTGTTTGGAATAAAGTGAATCAAACTAAACACTTTAACCATTAGTGAGGCATTCAACCCCAAATAAACAAAAATAAGTCACTCTTTGGAGTTTTTTCAAGCGACAAACTGCAAAATGCAAAACCGATGTAACATAATATTCCACAAATCAAAATGCTGATAAAGAAGATTAAAAAAAAAAATCAAACCCTCAATCGCTGTGATAAGAGCCTCTCATGAAGGTTCATGTAACAGATAAACCTAAACATCTATTGCGAAAATTACAGAGAGAAAGAAAAAACGACTGATCGATTAGTGAAACAAAAATGGTAAGGATGTTGAAGGATTGAAGAGATTACGCTTAGAAAGGATACCTGGTAAAGGGCGAGGAATGAAGCGCCTTCACAAAACCCTAACCTTGGAGTTTTATTTCAGCTTTCCTTGAACTTCTGCGGAATGCCAACGAAGGAAAATTGCTTCATGCGGGCTGGACCGTATTTCTACATTTGCGGTCCAGAAAGTGAAAAGCATCCATCTATAAGATGGATGCAAGTAGGTGTTCCATCCAAAAACAATGAAAACTAAAGGTCTAATTAAATTGTGATTATCGTGCCCTTCCAAATTTTCGGAGGAGTAATTTACGTGCATACGCTTCTAAATTTCCGTTTCTAAATTTCCGTTGCTTCAAACCAGAAACTTGCCGAGTCGAGCCGGACTCGGGAATCATCAGTTACCGAGCGGGTTCCACGAAAAAATCGGGAATCGTTCGTATCCAGAGAGAACTAGGCGATTCTCAATAGTGAATCGCCAAGTCTCCCCCAAAAACACGGGCTACACAGTGTTCTTCATGGATTTCATCTTTTTTTGTCATTTTATTATCATTTTTCATCTTTTTCAGCCTCATAATCGAATCTTGCAGGCTTTAATTCAAATTTTCAGTCATTTCACTCAATAAAAGATAGTAAAAATCACTGATTTTGAACAAAAAATTTTGGATCGAAGAGTGCGTTTTAGGGTTTCCGCCATTTCACTGATTTCAAGAGAAAGATGGCATCATTTTTTGTAAAATTTCAGAGTGATTGATCGTAAGAATGTTGCTAAGAAGTTTTTGTTTATAATTTGTGATTATTTTAGAGGAATACATATCAATTTTGAATTTGAAGGCACGGGTGCACGAAAAATAAGTAAGAACTGTGTTTTTTTTTTTTCGCCATGCTATCAAATTCAGTCAATTTGAGTTTGGATTTTTGAGAAAAAAAGACTGATGTCTGTGAAAAAAAAATAGACTGAGTTTTTTTTTTCGCCATTCTCTCAATTTCAGTAAATATTTTGTAAATAATGTGTTAAATTTATAAGGTTTTGATTCGTTATAGTGTTGTTTATCATCACATGTATTCAATTTGATCTGATTTATTCAATTTTGAGCTTGATTTTTTGAGATTGAATGACTGATGTCTGTGAAGAACTACGTTTTTTTTTTTTCTCAATTCAATTGATTTTATTTAATATTTTGATAGTAATGTATTAATATTATAGAGTTTTGATTCCTTATAGTGTTGTTTATCAAAACATGTATTCAATTTGATGTAATTTATTTGATTTTAGGCAGATTTTTGAGTTGGAATGACTGATGTTAGGTGGGTCTATGAAGAACTGCTTTTTTTTTTTTAATTCATGATCGAATTTTTGAAAAATCGTGATTTTTTCGAAAATTTGTGACCAGTTTTTTATTATGATGAGGAATTAAACAATGTTTTTAATTTTTATTGTTAAATTTTTAGTTCAAAAAATTGCATGTTGATAGATTATTAATACAAAAAAATACATGTTATTATATTTTTAATGCAAAACTGTATTTTTTAATTTGTTAATACAAAAAAATACATTAACAAATACATGTTGTTAAATTGTATTATATTTTTAATGCAATTTTGCATTAAAAATGTATTTTTGATTTTTTTAATTTTTAATGCAATAAATACATGTTGTTAAGTTGTATTATCATGAGGAATTAAAGTGAATATCATTGTAAAAAAATCGTGGCATGGTATTATATTTTTAATGCAAAACTATATTTTTTAATTAGTTATTAATGCAAAGATATACATTAACAAATACATGCTGCTAAACTGTATTATATTTTTAATGCAGTTTTGCATTAAAAATGTATTTTTAATTTTTAAAAATTTTAATACAAAAAATACATGTTGTTAAATTGTATTATCATGAGGAATTAAAGTGAATATCATTGTAAAAAAATCGTGGCATGTATGATAATTATATTATCTTGCAACTTTTAATTTTATTATTAAACTTTTAATGCAAAAAATATATGTTCTTGATAATTGAGTTGTAGTCATGTATGGAGCTTGGATTCTTTATTATATTATCTTGCATATTTGTAATTGAGATGTACGACTATTTGTGATCATTTCAATCGAGTTGGGATTGTGCCGACTATATCATTATAAATTTTATTTGTGGCATTGTGAATGACTATATCATTGTAAATGTTTTTTGTGTCAAATATACGTGTAGTGGCATTATGGATCACTATTAATGTAATTTTTTTCTTGATTCTAAGTGTGACTTATACAGACTTTTTTTTATCTATAATGTTGCATAAATATATTTTTTTTCTCAGTATGAACTAATTCATGTTTGTCGAAATGAAGATTTGTGACAAGTCCATATGTATTGGCATTGTGAATTACTATACCATTGTAAATATATTTTTTATTGATACTATATCAATGTAATTTTTTGTTCTATATGTAGTGGCAGATATAGGCTATTTTTATCTATAATGTTGCATAAATAAATTATTTTTCCCAGTAGGAATTAAAATATTTTTGTCAATAGAAGTATTTTGCATTAACAACAAATATAACGTCATGAACTACCCATACATATTATCACTACACATGGTGATTATTTTTCATGTTGAACTATGAGGTTAATTTTTAACATTTTACATATTAAAGTTGAACCATGGCAAGATTTGCGGAAGACCCTGCATGGCAACATGGGGTCAGACTTGATCCTAACAAAGAAGACAAAATTATTTGTAATTACTGCCAAAGAGTGATAAGTAGTGGGGTACATAGGTTCAACCAACACTTGGCAGGGGTTAAGGTAGATGTTTATGCGTGCAATAGTATCCCTAATAATGTAAGAAAGTAGATGGCGGCATTTCTCAAGGCTACCAAAGGTAAAAAAATTGCAAAGCAAAGGATGGATGAGGAGATAGCTAGTTTATATACACCATCAAGCAGGAATGATCCACAAGAGCAATATAATAATGACTTGGAGATGACCACAAGAATGAGTTTACATAAAACATACTAGAGGGAACGCGGGTTTAGAATGCATGGTGGTTATGACATGGGCATTCACGGTTGGCCTAGCTCAGACATGCATGGTGAGCCCAGCTCGAGCATGTATGGCGGGCTCAGCTCAAATATGTATGGATGTGTTGGTGGCAATATGTATCAAGAAGAATCAGACGTTGAAGAAATTGTTTATAGCTTATCTAGGAATGCCAGTATTGTAGGTCATGGTCGTATAGACCTATTTCTCTCAAAGCCTAAGTCAGAACAGATGACCTTCAAAGGCATGGTGAAAGGTACGAGAAACATGTTGGGCAGATATGTTGGTAAATGGTTATACGATAAAAGGATCCCCTTTGATGCAGCCAATAGCCCATATTTTCCACCTATAGTCAACGCAATCCAAAGAGCCGGGCCCGGGGTAACACCCCCGACGACATATGAGCTCAGTGGGCCAATATTGGATGAAGAGGTGTAGGAAGTTAGAAAGTGGATTGCAGAATATAAATAGAGTTGGCCAAGAACAGGCATTACTCTCATGAGTGATGGTTGGTTGAATAAAGTTAGCAAAAAGGAGTTTGTAAACTTCTTGGCCTATTTCCTAAAAGGTACAGCTTTTTTGTCTAGCAAAGACGTATCAGGGACGAAGAATGATGCAAACTTCTATATACGACTATATGATCAGATAGTGGAGGAGATGGGAGATAAGCATGTAGTTCAGTTTACTACGGACAATGCGCGTACATGTGTTTCTGCAGGCAGCAAGTTGATGGATAAGATGAAGCATCTAGTATGGACCCTGTATGTTGCACACATCATCAATCTTATGTTAGAGGAGATCGGCGAGATCAAAATTGTGAAGGAGACTATACAGGAAGCGAGGTTGGT